TTCGCTTGGGAACGGACTCTCCCTGCGTTACCATACTGGAACAGCTTGAAGAGTCATGTAAAGAAGAATATGTAGAAGTTGATCTGCCTGTGTTTCATCCCTTAGCTGTAAACATAGACAGTATGAGATGTGGTTAGGGATAGGAATCATCAGTACAGCCCCATAGCCACAGCGTGAAAACTTTAGGTACCGAGATTTTTGAAAAGAGACAATGGAGATAGTAAGAAAAGGAAAGAAATTAACATGCATCACGTAATTCTCATTATTGCTTTGCTTAGGAACGGACTCTCCATGCGTTACCATATTGGAAAAGCTTGAAAAACATTAGCAAAATTAGTGCAATAACATTATTGCTTCACAATATTTTGTTCAGTGTTTCCCTTTCGCGCACTCTATTTCTTCCCTTCTTTCCACCTTCTGAATCTCTGATTCTCACCAATCGCTGTCTGGTTCGATTTCGCCTATATAAAATAAGCTTATTCACTTCATGTCGGGAAAGGAGCTGTACTAATGAATCCTACTTCCATCTCGCGCTTGCAGTCCACTTATTTTTACAGCTAAGGGATGAAACACAGACTGCATACTAACGTTACAAATGTCGCACCTTCATCACAGATGACCCTGTATTTCAGATCGCAGAATGGTTCAGCAACATGTTATCCATGTGTATCGGGTCCAGGTACAACGGTCGCCGCTGCTCTTTCTTCGATCATTGGTGAAGCTGGTCAAACCACCCATGCACCACCTGTTTCCCCGCCACTTCATCCAGGAACTGTTCCTGTTTCGACGGATGCTCTTCCCGCCATCGGTGACTCAGATTCGATGGATGCAGAATCTCCTTCTGGTCCAGTATCAACGAACAGTATTCTGGTGAATATGGTGGAAAATGTTGATGCAGATGAGAGGGATGAGAAAATCTTGCTGGATAAAATCAAAACGGAAATCCCGGATGAAGACTGTCTAGAAACTACCGCTACTACTTCATGTACCGCTTCTTTTACGTCAAGTAATATTTTTTTTTGCATCTATGCAATGCAAAAACGCCGAGAGGTTGTCTGTGTGCTTGTGTATCCTTGTGTGTGCATGTGTGTGTGTGTGCCTGTGTGTATGTATGTATATGTGTGTGTGTGTGTTTGTACCGATTTTTTCTTTTTCTCATAAGATATTCAACCAAAATCAGCAAAGCCTCTGTAAATGTCGATGCGTTGCTTTGAGGTTTTTAAGTCACACCTACATGCAGGACACAAATATGCCCTCACATCCTCTTTATCCGTTAGTTTTCGTATTTTTTCCCTCTCGTGCCTCCAGATACATTTGCACCACAATCGTCATGCTGGCGAGGTCCAGTTGCGCTGTTATTTTAAGACTTTAAAAAAAAAAATTATTGAGTTGAAAAGTTTTTTTTTTTTCATTTTTTCAATTCCTGTTTGGCTCCCTTATCTTCCGTATCCTTCCCTCCTTTCCGACTTAGAGCGTAGCATATTAATATGTAATGAGTTTTAGAAACCCAGCTGGAATGCCCGCTATACGCTGTCCACGAGAAGCAGATGTGCGTGGCTCTCAAGTATGGGCCCGTGAAATTTTTTGGCTGGGTAAATTGTTAGCTCGGGAACCAGAAAAGCTAGAAAGCTGAAATTTTAAGGAGGCCTATAAGTGAGCAAGCGCATTTCTGGTGCCAACTATTCGTGAGCGAAGCGGATGATGAATCCCTGTTTTGGTAAAACGTTTTTTTTGGCACCATTTTATAAGGTTTTTTTATTGTAGCATGTCAGTATTCATCGATCAAAGCTACAGCGTCATGTTCCAATGCACTTATTAACTTGTTGGTGAGCAGCAAAAATCGGACTGTGGAGGAAAACAGGCCCAGCAGTTCGGTGAAAAGAAACGCTTCAGGATGGCGTACACTTACTGTACGGGAATTGCTCGGTTTGGGTTCGGTGAGGCGACAAAAAGCAAAATGCAGTACGTATAATTATTTTCATTTGTGCGTTGCAATTCCCATTTTAAAATCTTTATTATTTAATGAAATATTATTTTTAGCCGTATTTTTATCCGTATTATTTTTATCCGTGTTATCCGTATTTTTTTCTTCCACGTTAAATATTTTATGTACAATTTCATAACGAGAAATGGGTATTTTAAAACTGTAATTTGTTCATATTTGTCGGAATGGGCCGCACTAATATATTTGCTTTTCCCGGTCTGAGCATTGTTTGTGTAATTTGTTCGTCCGATTGAAACACAGGCATTTTTTGCACATTCACAACGATTCGTATGGCTATTGGCTTTTAGCATTGTTGTCATCTCACGTCTTTCGAGCTTTTATTTTCGCCGTTTTGTTTTTCTTTTCCTACCTGCTGTGGATTGAGATTCCGTACTTTTTTATGGCCTTTCATTTTCGGAACTATTCAAATCTATTAGATATAAATAGTCTAAAAGCAAGGGCTTCGCCTCTTAGACCACGTAATAGGTCCTCTCTGTTATTGATGCTGCACTTTTAACAAACACCTGAAATATTCGCATCGATTGCTCGAGCGGTCTTGATATTCATGGTACCACTTTCAATAGATGTTATTTTGTAGGTAAATATACACGAAAAGCGCTGGAGGATATTCCTGTGTTGGAAGCAGAAAGCCAAGCGGGATCAGAAGTTTCTGAAAAATTGAAGGCAACAACGAGTGATTGATTCATCCCTGTGATTTATCAAAAATTTGTTTTTTTTTTTTACATTTCCTTGTTTTTCTTGCCACTTTTTGTTGCAATCTGCCAGAGGTGCTATTGATTCTAGGATCCGGTTTAGCGGTGCTCCCTTTGTAATAGTAGAATAGAAGAATTAGTTTTAAGTCTCATGCGCTAGAGGACATTTTACGTTGTAATTTGTCTGCGTTTCATCCCTTATCTGTAAACACAGACCAAGAACAATGTAGTCGTGTCTAAAAGCAGTTAGTAAAATTTGGTTCAACTCGGCTGCCTACATTGAAAAAAGCTCGTTAATGGGTTTAGATGCGGACTACGGCACTTGTAGTCGGGTAGAATATTGGATTTTTTGTTTAGGTCAGATTTTAGATGTCGCACACACATTCATTAGTTTTAACTCTGCATCTAGTTTTTGCTGAGTCTTGTCCATTGGCTCAGCGGTTTTCCTAATAAAAGCTGTTTGGCAAGACTTTAGCCGTTTCGAGAAATGCCCTTGGCATCGCTCTTCTAACGCTACATCTTGAAGAGCGCCTGAGCAGGTTTATTTAAAAAATCTTACCTCACTTTATCCTTTACGTGCGAACAAGTGAAATTTGGTGCAACTCCGTAACCAGGACATTCAGAGTACTGAAATTTTCTGAGCTTGGTATTTGAATTTGTTTGGACAGTTAAAAGAACTTCCACATTTCGCCACATAAAACAGCACATGAAATTTGACGTAACTCAGCAACTAGAATAGTTAGAATGCTGAAATTTTCTGATGATCCAATGCATGAAAAAGGGAGTGAATTTAAAAAAAGGAACGGTTGTAAGTATTGTTTCATCATGTTAGAAATATTAACGTTTATGCATATATGTATATTGCGGCGGATATTTACACAGTTAACTGTTACTAATCAAATTTTGACTTACATGTATATATATTTTTGGTTATTTTGCGTGTTGGTATTTTGATTTCTTAGAAATCCTTTTCCTACTTATTTCCTGAAAACTCTGGTTTTTCAGCGTTGTTCTCGTTTGTTTTTAGCTAATCTTTAGTTTTTTTTTTTCTTTTCATTATCATTTTATTCGTTATAGGTTTACGCTTTCAGTGTCAGTCGTCAGGTACCCTTTTTTTGGTTGGGGTTTGGGCCAAAACTGTTTAGTTTTGATGGAAAAAGAATTTTTTTGACTCAAATTTTGAAAGGATATCACCTGTTCGGATTGCCTCTTTCACTCAGTAAAGCAGTGCAGATCCTTATTTTTTTGGATTTGGTACTGATGTAATGAAATTTCGTTGTTTATACTTTGCGGAGTTTCGTTGTTTTTGACTAATTTTTACTATCAGTTGTGTTAGTGAATTACGTTGTTAAACTGGTATCACTGCTAACATTCCACTGATTTTTGCCGATGTTTCCGTCTCTTTTGTACCATCATAAAAATCGGTTTTGCTAATAAACGGTTTTTTTCTTAAATTTTCTGCACTGAGATTATTTTCGACACTACAACATTAAAATTATCATGTCGGAAGTCAGGAATTGCTGAAAGATCAATGTTAACAGTATCGCAAACGAAGCGTTTTTATGCGTTTTTGCCGTGCAGTGCTAGAGCGCTGCAACAGGCAGCAAAAACGCATACTGCAACGAC